GCGCTGCCGTGCTCGCGGGGCATAGGCGGCCGCGGTTTCAGGGCCTCCCGATCTGGGGGCTCCCCGGGCCCTGAGCAACATTTCCGCAAGTCGCTCTCTCGCAGATGGCTTGTCGTGAGATTGCGGGGTCTGTAGAGGCACGGACGTGCTTTGAGCAGTGTTATATTTATATCGGGGATCGAACCCAGAACCTTGCCCTTGCCAGGCAGGCGCGGAGCCGAAAAGGTGATTTGGAAATAGTGATTGTATGTAGTAAACAGTGATTGTATGTAATGAGAGAACATACTAGCATTCTTCAGCGTGCCATCCCCCAAGAACCTTCAGGAAGCCGACTGACAGCCAGGCTTGGTGCTACCTGGAGCCCATGTTTGGGCTGGACAACTAGCTCCGAAGAACTTCAAATGATTTTAGTACTTAATGTTCACTGGAAAAAAATTAAATAAAATATGCCTTAGAAATATGCTTAGTAAAGATACTCAGGAGCAGAGAGCTACCACTTTACTTAAATATTTGGAAAGGAAATAAAGATCTGATTATACAAGCTGCACATTTACCCCACTCTACTGAAAGGTGACTTCTTCACTGAGGCAGTATAGGCAGGGGGAGAAATTTATTCTTTGGGCTAGAATACCTCTTGAATATACGTTTAGGAAATTGGTAGCTTTTTCCTGTAGCTGAGCATCAGGTTCAATTTAGAGGATTCTTTTTCTTTTCTTTGCAAGAGTTGAACCCAAAATCTTTTTTTTTCTTTTTTTTTTCTTGGTACCGGGGATTGAACTTGGGTCCTTGTGCTTCCAAGGCAGGCCAACAAATCGCTGAGCTAAATCCCCGGCCCTTGAACCCAAAATCTTACATATGCTAGGCAGACACTCCACTACTGAGCCACATCCCTAACTAGAGGTCATATTTGATGGTTTAGTAATTGCATCCCTTGTGTCTGTTGTACAGAATCTGTCCCCTCACCCTCCTTATTTAGGTAATGCAAAGGAGTACAAAGAAAGGTGCTAAAATCCCTTGAACTCACAGTCACAATTTCTAGCTGTGGTCTTCAGTTGTGACTGCATATTAGCATCACTTTGGGAAATTTGTTGTTGGATAGGGCTTAAAATCCTGCTGATTAGGTGGATTCTGATTTAATTGATTTGGGGTGAGCCAAATCATACTGGCTTTTTTTTTTTTAAGCTCAGCTAATTCTGGTGGTCAGCATGGACTGACCACTTCTGCACACTGCCAGAGAACATAATAATATAGTGGTGATAATGAAGAGCTTTCCAAATAAAAAATTCACACGGAAAATCTAAGCCTAAAACAAGAACCTTGCTCTTACCCACATCTAAGAGTGAAAACAGCAGCTATTTCAGCTTTGAAGGGAAGGGCTGGTGATGTATAAAAAACTAACAGGAATAATTTTGAAAAGGAAAACCATCAAAATTGAACAGACATAATGAGAATGATATTTTAAGGTAATTATGACTAAGATGAAAGAGGATTTAATATTGTTGCTGTGTAAATAAATTATACAGATTCTTAAGAGTTGAAATGGTTAGATAAGTATTCAAGCAGTTCTTGTGAAAGGAAAATACTGATGCTGTGTTTGGAAAACATTTAAACTTGCTCATCATTAATTCAAGGTGCTGTTTTCTATTCATCAAAAAAAAAAAAAATTAAAAGGCTAATCCTGAACTAGCTCCTAGGGAACAGGTAAGCTTCATCTCAAGGAGACTGATAACCTAGGGGTGTAGGTACGTGCTTAGACTGACCCGAGCTTAAATCCTGGCTGCAAGTAGGTGGTGACCTTAGGTAAGATGGTGGATCTCTCTAGACCTCAGATTCCTCATCCAAAAATGGAGCCATGCCTGTGTCAATGGTGTGCGTATAGTTGGAGTTACTCAGGAGTCTGAGGCAGGTGGATCGTTTGAGCCCAGCTTGGGCAACGTAGTGAGACCTCCTCCTCCTCAGAAAAAACAAACAAACAAACAAAAAGACACCAAGAACTATTTCCCAGGAGGCTGCTGGGGCTTGGCACATAGTAAAAGTATAGTTATTTGTATTGCCTGGGAGCCTCCCAGACTCTGGGAGTTAACTGCAATTGTCCTTATAAATCTGCACAAACAAATTTGAGAATAGTTTCACACTGCATATGAGAAACTGTTAAAAGGCTAATTGTGGTTAAAAGTTCTATTCCTGAAACACTAGTTCACTTTCATTTCAATGCGAAACTATGTACAAAGAACACATTCATTTTATATA